TATTATCGCTAAATCTCACTGGGGATGCGGTTGGGATTTGTGGATGATATTTAATTTAATTTAGGCGGCTGATCATGACCAGTTTGGGTTTTGGTCGCCTGCTTTATAAATGGGTACTACTATATTCCAGGGATCTGCCTAACATAACCATGAGAGCTGAGCTGACTGATGGCTCATGCATATAATCGTTTGGACCCGGATCCGGGGGTGGTTGGTTGGTTAGTTGCAGCCTCCTGAGACCGTGGGATTTTTTTTTCCACTTCCAGGAGGTCGGGGCGGGCCACGTGTTCTAGTTGTGAGCTTGTGATCCCTTGCCGCGTCTCATTTGCTTGGAGCCATTTAGTGGCCAATTGTCTCAGTTATCATAAATAAAATTGGAGCCAGACCAGGGTAGTTCTAGTTCGAGCCAAACTGTTGCTATACTTGTGATTCTTTATTTTTTGCTATATAATAAATTGGATCAATACAGCTGTCCTTGTGCCTGCTTGTCTCCAAATTCCAGAATAACAAAGCAATGCAAACGTATCAGTTCTTATAAGCCGTGGCCCGTGGCCCTTTACAGGCCTCAATGTATATCTTTTTATAGAGGGAATTAGGTGTCCCAACTCCTAATTATAACATCGCCAAGACTTGCCTAGTTTCAGCACATAAAAACAATCTCTTTGACTTTCAACGATATGTTTCTTTTTCCACATTTGAGATATGAAAATTTGGACTTCCGTTGTACAAAGCTGCAAATATTTACGTATTGTAACTGATCTGCAGAGTAGCTTTAGATAACAGCATTTCTTTGCACAATAGCAATGCAAATCCATGACTAAGGAAAATGAAACACAAGCAAAGGATGAAGTCTAAAATCATGCAAAACAACTGTACAGAAAAAAAAGGTTTCCAACAATAGATTAGCCAATTGGTCTTGGTTATCCATGCTTGGCTTCTTATGTTGTTGCTCAATTTGATTACACTCCTTATCATGAGTCCCGTTAACATTATAAACTTTGCCGAGTGTTTTAGAATTGACACTCGGCAAAGTTTACAAACTTTGCTGAGTGTTTTGGGCTTGACACTCGGCAAACTTGAGAAACTTTGCCGAGTGTTTTTCCGTCGTGCACTCGGCAAAATCGCCGTCACCGTGCCATCCCGTTAACATTTTTTTGCCGAGAGTTTATTTTTGCCGAGTGTTTATTGACACTCGGCACACTATTTGCCGAGTGCGCGATAAAAAACACTCGGCAAACTACTGTTTGCCGACACACAGATGCCGTGTGTTGTATGCCGAGTGTTACACTCGGCAAAGCAGTTGCCGAGTGTTTTTGGGACTTTGCCGAGTGCCCCTGGCACTCGGCAAAACTACTATATCCCGTAGTGCATAGATACCACTAGCGGCCGATGCTTTGACCCGACAATGTTGTGTCTGTTACCACTGTGAGTCGATGCCGATTATCCTCTGCCGGCTAGAGTTCTGGTAGTGATGGGATTCCAATCCGATGGTGATTATCAGTTCTGGCGTAGTGATCTAAAATTATACAACTAAATGACAAGCCAAAAGTTTCCGTCATCTTTTGACGTATAATTCTATTAATTCAATTTCTTATGGATATGCCTAGTCAATGGACAAAGTTGGATGGAGTAAACTCTATTTATGATATCTATATGGGGTTGATCTGCTGCTTATATATGCTACACGGTTATTGGGCGGCCCATCCATGCCAACAATATGATCGTATTTTTTAGTGTGATAAAATATACATAATTATATGTTTAAACCAATTTTTAAATATTTTTACACTATTTATAACCAAAATCATAATATTTTAATAAAATGAGTGAAAATTGATATTTTTGTGCTTTAAATTCAAATATATATAGGTATTAAACAAAATCTATTGTGCTTAGGGGGGGAGGGGGGGCACGGCCCTGCTGGCCCCCTAGTCCCGCCACTGCTTCATCTCTATCTATCAAGTTTAAGTTTTCTAGTTATGTATATGATGTATTCATATGTTTTGTGAGAAGTGTGATGACAATGAGAATTCCCTGGTGTGTTATAATTATAGCTGCTAGGTGTGGTATTGGACCCGCAGTGGCGCACAATAATTCACTGTCAGGTGTGCACTGATCCGGTAGTGGTGCTATGAATGCCATTGTCGGGTCATGACCTAAATCGACTGCGGCACTAACCATGACTGGGTGCTCTGAAACCTCCTTAAAAGGAGGGGATGTGGGGTAAGGTAATTGAAGTAACTAGCTAGTATTAAGATTAGGCCAAGAATACATTCCTGCTGGTCAAACAAAGTCTTTCCTCTTTGGATGGTAATAGCCAGGCATGTGAGATGATCGCGCCTAGTAGCCACATATCAGCTGCACTCAATATGCGGGATTTCCGTTGGATCAGATCTTTCGCTGCCGGTTAAAGCGACAACCCAGCAGTGATATCCACAGATACCACTAGTGGTCGATGCTTTGACCCCGACAATGTTGTGTCTATTATCACTGTGAGTCGATGCCGATTATCCTCTGCCGGCTAGAGTTCTGGTAGTGATGGGATTCCAACCCGACGGTGATTATCAGTTCTGGCGTAGTGATCTAAAATTATACAACTAAATGACAAGCCAAAAGTTTCCGTCATCTTTTGACGTATAATTCTATTAATTCAATTTCTTATGGATATGCCTAGTCAATGGACAAAGTTGGATGTTGTAAACTCTATTTATGATATCTATATGGGGTTGATCTGCTGCTTATATATTCTACACGGTTATTGGGCGGCCCATACATGCCCAACAATATAATGGCCTTCCCTATTATTAACTGGTCTCAGTGCATGTACGTCAGCACGGCGAGAGCGACGTCGCGGTGCATCACCATAAATAGGTACACACACATGACACAACACAATTCATTCATGCTATATGCTTTTGCTAGCTTTTAGCCGCTATCCGTGCCTTGAAGCTATGCATGTCGATCGTAGTAGTTTTGGCCACGCTGTACGTCTAAACGAACTGCATCATAGTCCATCGATCGTCTCCATCCATGCAGTGCGGGTGGCGGCTGCAACTTGCAACTGGTGCCATGAACTCTATACTTGATCTACACGCTCCATATATACATGGTATGATATATATAAATTTTCTATCAACTGCCAAAGATTTATATATAGCACTGCTACTTCTTATCTTATTATAGTTCATCATATATAGAATCAGTTTAATTTCCATCACATATATGTTCTTGATAGAATTAAAAGGGTACGTAGATCAATACATCCAGTGATCTACTTTGTCACACATGCATGCAGTGATCGATCGTCAGTAAGAGAGACTAAGTGTACACCAAGATATAAGAGAGGAATCTAATTAAACACCCACTTCTTTGAATTGGCATGTATGTATCATCCCTACAAATTTAAGTCTGGCCAATGAGAGTGCAGATGCATGGTGGCCTTGCTTCACCTTGACTTCAAAAAAAAAATCAGGGAAGAGGGAGAGAGAGATCAGAGAGAGAGAGAGAGAGATCTTTGTCTTGGTAATAACATTCATCACACAGCTGGTTGCTTGCAGTTTGTTCTTTGAATCAACTGGGGTAAGTTGGTCTTTGCTACTACGCATTGCTGCAAGCAACTCTAGAGAGAGGTAGTATATGTTTTTCCTTGCCACGAAAGATAATACATATATGACGGCCGGATGCCTTTAAATACGGCTGCGTCCTCAATCCCGTCTCTCCTCACAAGAAGTCACGAGCGAACAAGTTTCCTTTCGTCCCAACACACAAACACACACCAAAAACTTGTCGGCCATGGCCTGCAGTCACCAGGTATATATATATATGCATGTGTAAAATTTGTGCAAAAGCCTGCTGCTTTTGTCGTACAGTACGAACAGACGATGAAAAATATACATACATACTCCATGCCGGCCCACTGCCACTTGTGTATTGTACAGCACTGTCGGAATGAAGCGCATGCATATACTGCACGTCGTCTCTCATCACTTCCTTTGTTTTGCATGCATGCATGTCGATCGACCTGCAGGGTGATGTGGTGTTCGAGGTGGACGCCATCGGCTGGGCTCCCTCCGGTGCGCGCACGGCGCTGTCCCTGCACCACGAGCTGGACCCGGCCAGGCTCCCCGCCGCTAATAAAGGGGCGGCCACCGTCGGCGGGCACGAGCGCACGCCCAGCGGGCGGTACGTCCTCGCGACGGGGCTCGCCGACGAGGAGGACGGCCTGTGCCAGGCGATCACGCCGGGCGCGCTCAAGCCCCGAGTCACGTACCGTGTCGCCGGATGGATCAGCGTCAGCGTAGCGGCGGCGCCAGGCGCCGGGGTGGGAGGAACAACGACCTATCATCCCGTGCACGTCAGCATCCGCGTCGACGACGGCCGCTGCGTCATCGACGGCGGCGCTGTCGCCTGCTCCGCCGCCGCCTCCGAGTCGGAGGCAGCAGGCGGCGGCAGCAGGTGGGCGGAGATCAAGGGCGCGTTCCGGCTGAAGGAGAGCCCCGCAGCGCGGCGGTGCACGTGCATGGGGTGCCTGCCGGCGTGGACGTGAAGGTCATGGACCTTCGGATCATCGCCACCGACCCAAAAGCGCGCTTCAGCTACCTCAAGGACAAGACGGACAAGGTGAGCGACACGCCTCATTTACGTCTTGAAATGACCAACTTAACCAACTGGTTTAATTTTGACCGCGACCAGGGCTTCATTATTCACAACCCTTCCCTTGTTATTTATTATATCTCTCTATATATACCTAGCTAATGTGTTATTTATGTTCTTTTCATCAATCATCAACTACACTGTATAATTAAGGTCACTTAATCAGTGCCCATCACTCTCAGCCGCGCCGAATAATGATGCTAGTAAAAAATGCTCTCCGGCCGGCCTCCCGCCCCTTGTGGTGGTGAAGGCGTCTAGTCTACTCTAGAGTTATACTCGTTAGCATGTAAATACTCCGTACATTATAGGTATCCCTTCTTGTACGTGTGTGTGAGTGACATGCATGCATGGACCATGGCTGCCAGGTGCGCAAGCGTGACGTGGTTGTGAATGTGGCCGGCGGTGCCCCGGCGGGCGCGTCCGTGCGCGTGGTGCAGCTGGACAGCGCCTTCCCCATTGGCAGCTGCATCAACGGCACGGTGATCCAGGACCCGGCCTTCGTGGACTTCTTCACCAACCACATGGACTGGGCCGTCTTCGAGAACGAGCTCAAGTGGTACTGGACCGAGGCGCAGCGCGGGCAGCTCAACTACGCGGACGCCGACCGCCTGCTCGACTTCTGCGACCGCGCGGGCAAGCCCGTGCGGGGCCACTGCATCTTCTGGGCCGTCGACGGCGACGTGCAGCAGTGGATCAAGGACATCGCCGCCTACGACCGGGACCAGCTCATGGCTGCCGTGCAGGCACGCCTCAACGGCCTCCTCGGCCGCTACGCGGGGAGGTTCCCGCACTACGACGTCAACAACGAGATGCTGCACGGGCGCTTCTTCCGCGACCGCCTGGGCGACGACGTGGCCGCGCTCATGTTCCGCGAGGCGGCCCGCCTGGACCCGGGCGCCGCGCTCTTCGTCAACGACTACAACGTCGAGTGCGGCAACGACCCCAGCGCCACGCCGGAGCGGTACGTGGAGCTCATCCGTTACCTGCAGTGGCGCGGCGCGCAGGTCGGCGGCGTCGGGCTGCAGGGCCACGTGACCCACCCCGTCGGGGAGATCATCTGCGACGCGCTCGACGCGCTCTCCGCGGCCACCGACCTGCCTATCTGGTTTACGGAGCTCGACGTGGGCGAGCCCGACGACGCCCTGCGGGCCGACGACCTCGAGGCCGTGATGCGCGAGGCGTACGCGCACCCGGCCGTCCAGGGCGTCGTGCTCTGGGGGTTCATGCAGGGATACATGTGGAGGCAGGACGCCGCCCTCGTCAACAGCGACGGCACAGTCAACGACGCCGGCCAGAGGTTCATTGACCTCCGGAGGGAGTGGACCTCCGACGCGCGGGGCCGCCTCGACGCCGATGGACAGTTCAAGTTCAGGGGCTTCCACGGCAACTACGTGGCGCAGGTCACCATGCCCACGGGGACGAAGATGCTCAAGGCGTTCACCGTCGACAAAGGGGACACGCCTCTCGTCCTGGACATGGATAACTGAACATCGCCGCCTGACAATTACATTACATGCCTCTCGACAAAGGGGACAAGTATTTGGATAGCAGCCGGCCGGCGGACCCCCTAATATATATTCCATAATAATCGGTACTGTATGTAATAATAATAAATAATATGAGTGATGATGTATTGTACTGGCTGAGCCTAATTAATTGAGGAGATATAGTAATAAATAAAGTAATCGAGTTATTATCAGTCGATTTTAATTCTATATACATGTGGAATATCTTTCGGCCAGTTATATCACTAATAACTTATAAAAAAAGTCTCGCAGCAACACGTGTGATATTCCTCAGTTTTCTATCATCTACAAACCTGTGCAAAATACATCTATCACTTATGTGCTCTAAACAAGTATTTGCTTAAGCTATTACTTCGATCACATCCTCTTCCATAAACTGGTTTTTACTTTAGATATCTATATCAAGATGTATCTACAACTAGGAGAAGCCTATGTTGTCATATATATCAATACATTTTAAGTAATTCCAATAAACCAACACAAATACATTTCTAATTTGAAAATCCCATATTATTGCCAAAGATTATAACTAAATTATTTATTTACATGGACATATACATGGAATAAAGTCTACATTAATTTTTTTATGAAAAAAAAGTTAAAGTTAACAAGGAAGCAACACAGGCTAGGTTGCTAGTCGGTGTGAGTTCGAATCTTGGTGTCGTACATACCTTTTTCTTATTTTCTTTTCGCCTGCTGAGCTGTGTGGGCTAGGAGCCCAAAAGTGCCCATGGCGGAGAGGGTTTGATTGCCTACTGTTTTGTCCAGGAGGTAGTTTTTTTTTATAAAAAAAGTCTCATTTACCTCTCTCAACTATCACGTCTGATTTTCTTCCTAAGCTACAAAATCAGTTTTTTAATCTCCCTTAACTTTTGAAAACCGTTCACTTTTGCACCCTCAGCGGTTTTGGTAGTGGTTTTGCTAATGTGGCGCCACGTCAGGGAGGTAAATTGGACTAAGTTGGAAGTTCAAGGAGGTAAATCGGATTAGAACTTCTTTTATAAAAAAATATCTTAAAATTTATAAAATATTTTTAAAAATATCAAAATATATTTTTATATAAAAAATAATACAATTGAAAATCATAAAACCTAGTTTAATCTTAGAAAATTCATACAAAATTTGTTTTAGCTCGGAAAATTATGAAACTAGTTCTAGATTTTTTTTCTAAAATCATGCTCTATGCTTTTTGAGACAAAATCAAGCTCTATGTTATATATGTTATATTGCCTAGCTTGAAATATCTTGTTCGCTACATTTTGATAAAGTTTAATGACCTTTCTGAACAATCACGAAAGTTTGATTTACCTCCTCGTGACTGACATAGTGCCACATCAGCTAAAACCGCTCATGAAGGTAATAAATAAGACGATTTAAAAATGAAGGGAGCCTAAAAGTCTGATTTTCCAGTTAAAGGAGGAAAATTGAACTTGTGCAATAATCGGGGGTGGTTAGATAGAATTTTTTCTTCTACTCCCTTCGTCTCAAAATAAGTGCATATCTTGCTTATCGTGAACTCAAACTTCTTTTAACTTTGACTAATGATAAAGAAAATAATATCAATATTTATATTTATAAATAATTTTATTATAAAAAGTATATTCTACAACCAATTTAATAATACTTACTACATACTATAAGTATTAGTAATTTTTTTATGTATTTAGAAAAGTTTGACTTTTATATGTGCCCTTATTTTGCGATGTAGGGAGTAATTTTTCTTTAGAACCGTTCGGCCTGCTAACATCACTACGCGAAGACAGATGCCATATCATTTGTAAAGCCCAGTTTGATAGCGCTCCCTAAAATCGGAGGAGCGGTACCGAACGGCGGCGGCCGCTCCAAACGATAATGTGCTGAATGGAAGCGATTCAGGTTTTTGACCGACGCTTCTGCTCCCCACCGATTCGCTCTGGATTCGGTGGTCTCCAGCGACCATACGCCGCCTGCGGACTATCGGCACGGCCCCGCGCTTCTCCCCGTAGCGGCGAGGCTCGCCCGCGTTGCCTCTCTCCGTCGCGGAGGTTCGCTCGCACCGCCTGGAGCCCTGGAGACGAGCATGGCCATCCACTATCATCACACTGAAAGAACACCAAAACATGAACTTCGAATCAAAATCATCACAAAAAATGGCTAGAAATTAGATAAAAACGCTGCCAACAAGACCTAACCTTGCGATCTGGACACTTCTAGAAGATGCGATCTAGTTGGGACCTTGCTTCTTCACCTTGGTCTCCAACAAAGTGTGCTGTTGTTGCACGTAATGAGAGGGAGGTCCAGTCTCAATCGCTTACCTTGCGAGGCTGAGGACCTGGACAGGGATATCATCTATTCGACAAAACTGACAGCAACAAAAAGGAGTCGTCTGCTCGGCTGATGGTGACAAAGGCTGGAGATTAAGGATGAATTGGCTGGGAACTAATAAAACGACGTATACATCTGCAAATATAAAAGCTTAGACCGGAAATCATTGCCGGTTCAAACCTTCAAGCTTTCACTTGGCAGCGATGTCCTTACCATATATAATGGAAATTTATATTTCCTACCCTCATGTTTGTCTCTCTAGCCGAGCAGCCCTAACCGGAGGAGCCCCAAGAGCGTTGACACTGTCCACCGTCCCCATATATCCATCGGGGACCGTCCCCATCCTCGGCCCCAGCCCCAATAGCTGTGCACCGTCCCCATCCCCGTCCCCGTCCCCGTCCTCATTGTCGACACCATCGGCCGGCCATCGCACGCCACCCTCATCCCCAACTCCGGCCTTGGCAGCCGTGCGTCATCCCCATCACCGGCCTCATTTGAGCCACATCATCCCCAACTTCCTCCTTAGGCACCTGGATTTCTCCCTAGAGCTATGTCGTTCATGCCATCTTTATAGATGGTACAATTCCCGTTTTTGACCATAGTAAGTGATCTTATCTTACACTCAATTTAACGTATATTCTATTTCAACCTAACACACTTTTGCAATTTATTGTAGTTGATTAAGCTGATTAGATGGCTCCAAGATACACTCTGGTTTCTCAAAGTTATTGAAATTAAGCATGAGACAACCATTGCACATGGTGAAGAGGGATTTCGTTGTGCTATCACTTTTCAACGTTGCTGAAAGATGGGGTGGGCCTGAAGATTTCTTAGAAATTGCCTTCACGGGAAGGGGAGCTAAATCAAAGAGAATTGTTGAAAGAAATGATGTGAGACAATCTATGAATGAGTTTGCCTGCAACGGATACATAATTCCTGACTTCTCATCCATTTGGTGTCAAGCTTTACACAAGGAGAATCAAGATGTGGCTGTAGTTAGCGAGATGACTGCTAAGGGCAACAACATATATGTGGTATAGTGAAAGTGGTGCTCATATGTATATGACTGCTAAGGGCAACAACATATATGTGGTATAGTGAAAGTGGTGCAACAACATATAATGTATTAACCCCTATACCCTAACGGCTAGGATAGGGCCAGCCCGGACCAGGGCGTCTAGCCCACTAGAAGACGATGCGTGGCCCGGCCAATCTGCTTGGAGCCCCGCGCAAGGAATCAATGCAGACTTGGAGGTCAAGCAAGATCCTGATCGGTTAGAATAGGAATCCTTATCCGGCCACCTATGGCAATTGTAACTGGTTAGGATTAGTTTCTAGATCTGTAACCCTGCTCCCCAGACTATATAAGGCGGGCAGCGGACCCCTCTCAAAATCATCTCTCGTTGACATACAGCAATACAATCAGACGCAGGATGTAGGTATTACGCCTTCACGGCGGCCGAACTTGGATAAAACCTCGTGTCTGTCTTGCGTCACCATCTTGTTTGTAGCTTGCGCATCTGTCTGATGATAATCTACTACCTTGGGCATACCCCTAGGTAGACTGTCGACCATATTTCGTCAACAGTGGCACGCCAGGTAGGGGGTGTGCGTACTACTTCCCAGAAGAACAAGATGGTCATCATCCCCGGATCCATGGCTACGCCGAACGGCCTCACGTTCACCGTCGGCCAGATCACCTGAACCACTGGCTCCGACAACCTCATTGCCATGACCACGGAGGAGGCACGGATCCGATCTGTGTCGACCCCTGCTTCACCGGCATCGGCTACGGCTCCGACCACGTTGGATCTGGCTCCGGCTGCACCAGCATCATCTTCGGCCACGCAGACAACCCGTCGCTCGCTTCCTCGCTACAAAGGGAGGCAGATCGACAACACTGACCTACTCGACTCCATCGATCGGGTCGGCACCAAGCTTGCTGAAACCCTAGCTCTGGTAGATTCGATTCAAAATCAACCTACCGAGCAGGTAACCACTACCCACAACAGATCTACCCGACCAGCTTGGGCCAGTCATCCTGCACAACTCGGTATGGATCTCGTGGTCACGTCTACTCCTGAAGGGCGTTCCGTTCGTCGCCGATCAGCCCCCGCAACAGGTCTCCGGCTCTCCGAGTGCGAAGCCCTGATGGAGAATTACCAAGCTCAGCCCTACGGCCTGCGCAACTTCGTCAACATGGTTCGGATCGAGGAATATCAAGAAGGATCCATCCATACAGTTCAAGAGGGCGGCTCAAGCTCCCCGTCCAGCACCGCATCTAATGGCTCCATCCACACTGAGCTTCAGCTTCACGACGATGAAGAAGTTGATTACGATCTGGATATCCTAGACCGCCCCCTGAGGTTTTCACGATTCCCATCCTTTCCACCAAGGCGAGGAGACTTAATCAATGTCGTCAGTAATGACGAACCCCAATAGTTGGCGAAACAGAACAAGAAAGGCTAGCACGCGAAGCACGCAATATTGACCGGTTTAATCGCAGACAAGACGAAGCCGAGGCAGAAGTGGAGGCACGACGCATAAGGCTCCAGCCACGTGATCTCAACAATGCCTTTGACAGGGTAGGGGAAAAGCAGGTCTTTAGGACTCCAAGCGCCAACGTAGCTGTTGCTAATGCGACAATGCAACGACTG